CGTGCCGTCCATCAGTCCATATGAGCACTCGGGTCTGTGACGCCCGCGAGTTCCTCAAGTTATATCAGAGGACCTGTACTTTCTATGGCAAACGCAGCAAAAAGTCTAACCTTACTTTTCGTTACGGCGTTCTTCGCATTCAAAGTAAAGTCACCCAAAATTGATTCAATGCATATTGTTTTCATATCAATTAACCATCATTAACTATCATTAACCAATCATTATTGTTTTGCCATTTAATAGGAGACGTGTCCAATCAAGTCCAATCACTCGAGTTTGACCCGGCGCCTGAGTTGGCTCGCAAGTGCTGCCTAGAAGGCTGTAGTGTTCATCTTATTGGCCTTCATTGCAATACTATCTAATTTGGTTTAAATATTATATTAATTATTGTTTTATAACTATTGCTTGTAATTTACAAATACAGTGTACGGCTATTAACGGTCTATTGTATTAAACAATATCTATCATAACAATAATATTATAACAATAAACTAAATTTGAATTCATTCAATCTTATGGCTATTTGATAAATCTATGTAAAATTGACAATTATAACTTGCAATTATAATATTTATAAATAATATAAAGTATATTAGTCTAATGTATTTGTACAGTATTATATTATTCAATTCTCTATAATTACTGATTTTAATAAAATTTATTGTTTAATTTATTGCAAATATTATTCTTGATTAATTCATTGGAAAAATATGTCTTATATAAAATATTTATAACAACAATAACATTAATAAACATGTTTTCAAAATAATATGTATTCAAATATTTGACAAAGAATTTTTATTACTATTTTTCCAAATAAATTAAAGTAACTTTTATTTACAGAATTTTAACAGATTATAAGCATTATTGTTATTATTAAAATTACATTTGTTTATCTTTTTACCATTTTATTGTAATTGTTACAAGATCAAAACATAAACTGAACAAGATATAATAGCCATTATTTATCTCAAATTTAATACATTAAAATAATTAATTTAAATTAATTATTAAACTTCTATTATATCTTTATAAATCTTCTTATTTGTCATAATAGCTCATTTTCCATCGTTTGTACAAGCAACTTTTTTTTAGCAATTGTAAGCATTTAAATATGCAAAGTAAAGATTGGTTAGGATGGTAGAGATTTTATTCCTAACATTTTGCTACTTTTTGGTTTCTTTAGTGATTTCAAAAGAATCTACAGAATCTATGACTTATATAAAAGTTATTTTATCTAAAATTCAATGCATTAGCCATTAATTTAACAAATTTTATACAATAAATAATTGAAACAGAAACACATGAAAAATAATGTCATACAAACTGTGATTTTATAACACAATTTATACTGTAATAGTTATAAATTAAGATACCATTAATATAATTTAATAATTTATTATACATTGTATGGATTGAATTTAAAATAAACATGATAACAAATAAACTGATTAATATTTCGGTATATACTGTATATTTTTAAGTTTTTTTTTTCACAAATGCCGGTCAATGGCATCGATTATATTCATAATCCATGTTTTAACGCCTCTTCAAATTCAGTCAATTAACAAAAGGATATTTTTCATAATAATAAATGAATTTTCGTAATAATTATAATAGAGATTTTTGTAAGAGATTTTTCGTTGCATATAATATGAGGGCTAATTAGTAATGAAATGTTTAATATATCTAACAAAAGAAGTTAATATGATATAAGAATTTTGTATTTTATATAAGACAGACAAACCATTCGTGTTTTTCTCGTTAATATACACTCTCTGGAGAATACAATTGTTTATTACTTGTAATAAAATACAAGTCTTTTAGTCAAAACAAAATTCTTATAATTAGTTATATAAGAAAAGAGATTTATTTCATCAAATAATTCAATTAAAGTTAATATAAAATAATTCTTGTTTTCTATAACATTGATTTTAAAAATTTTTGAAAAAATTAAGTAATTGTGTTATTTATCTAATAAGTGAATAATATATTTTTATTTCATGTCTAATATAATTAATTGAAAATAATTTGAAACATTCTTTGTCTAAATTAATATTGATTTGATTTTGTGCCCGAGTATATCATAAACAATAATAAACAGTAATAAACGAAAGTATCATTTATTATATTGTATTATGAATTTGATTATCCCATTGGCTGTGATTACATTAATAACAAACGTGAGCGTCTCTAATATGACAATAACTGTTTGTGATAGCCGTCAGTTGCAGGTAGTGGTGCATCGGGTCTGCACTTTCTTCAAGCGTAACAAATATGCATTTTCTCCTCAAAAACCCCATCAAAACATTTTCTCGGGAATTATGAGTGAGTTTCAAAGTTATGATACATTTTTGGGATTTAACTCAATTTATGCCATAGTCTTAGGGATAAAGAATCTTTCAGTTCTTAGACTTTCCTTACAGTTAAAGTAAGTAAATGATTGAGAGAGAGAGAGAGAGAGNATTTTCTCGGGAATTATGAGTGAGTTTCAAAGTTATGATACATTTTTGGGATTTAACTCAATTTATGCCATAGTCTTAGGGATAAAGAATCTTTCAGTTCTTAGACTTTCCTTACAGTTAAAGTAAGTAAATGATTGAGAGAGAGAGAGAGAGAGAGAGAGAGACTTAATAATCTAATGGGTTTGAATAAACATATCCTTTGTATTGACTTAACTTAACGAATTGATTCAATGAGTGATCAAATAAATGAAAGCCAAAATTTTATAAGTAAATCAAATTTGAGCACAAATTTTTGTGAACACGTCTCGTATTTTACAAAATATATTCAATTGAATTCATTATTTAAATGAGCGCTCATTTCAATAAATTAATACTACATATAGAGTCGACTGAACGCCAAGATTTGGTCTCTCATTGCTGTCGAGTCGGATGTTCTCCACATTTGTATACATTATTATGCGATCAAATCTAACACTTAAAACATCATTCATTTAAATAATCAATTAATATATAATAATTAACTTTTTACACAATTGTATTATTTCTAATTCATAACTATATTCTATCATTTCTATCAATTTGTATGAGTCTTTTTTACACTTTAAACATAAAATTAAAAACATATTTATAATATTTACATATATTAACCTTAAATATATAATAATTTACAGCTAATTACTCAATAAACAAATTAATTATAATTTTTGTTTTATATGAAGTAGATATTTGAGTAGTTCCTTAAACTACCAATATCAAAATTGTGAACATCATATTTACAACTTTTAAATAAACTTATTAATAAAAATCAAAAATAATTACGTTTAATGAAAAACATAATTAAATTGAAAATTACAATGAAATTAGCATTATTGTTATATGGTCAAATAAATAAGTGAAATACAACAAACTTTTTACAAAAGTCTTATGTATTATTATAAGACTTACAATAAGTAAACCACAAGAATATTACGTTAGTATCGCAAGAATTGGCAGCATTTGAATGGCAGGCAATAGACGGCGGTATAAGTGATGAGCGAATAGTATTGTGAATGAGAAGTGGTTTACAATAATATGTTTACTAAATATGGTTATTATGTGTTGACTACCAAATACAGAGACTTAACACATAAACACCACTCAATTGGCAGCTGTTATACACGTCTCGGCTTTAATTCAATTCAATTTATCCTTCACTTCAATACTCATTCAAATTGTAAGTTATTTTACACTTAATTATCATTTAATAGCAGAAAAAGTTTGTAATGAAAAGAGTTTTCAATCATTAATTCATTAAACAGTGCATTAGTTTTGAACGAAATGTCAAAATCGATATTTCTATTAGTTTTTGATTTCTAATTAAGTTTTTGCTAACAAAACAATTAATTGAAAGTTGTGTTTGATTTGTGCAGAAAGTGGTGAAACAATGTCTACATCTCCGGTGCCATCGCGTCGACAGCCGGTCAGTAGTCCGACGACTCCCCCGACGGCGGGTAACGGAAAACCCGAGTCTTTTCTCGACTATTTGGGAACTTTGGGCCGCAAGAAGAAGATGAGGGAAGGTATCAATGAATCACATCCCATACCATACATATACACAACTCATCCATATTTTATCACCGCTTTTACACTCCAGACTGTGCTCTCACTCTTACGCTATCCGTTACTCACAAAACCATTTCATATGCTTTTGCTGTCCATTAATCGCACTTTTAATCCGATCTAAGTTTTAACTCGTTTTCTAACGGCTATTATATTTCGCTAAATATTTTTGTGAATCTATTGTAAGTTTTGTTAAATATTAACAGCAATGAGAGAGAGAGAGAGAGAGAGAGAGAGAGAGACCTAAACTAATAGCTTGATTATATATTTTGATGATATGTTTCAGTGGAAGAGGCGAATAACATTGTAGAAGAGGGTCGTCAAGCGATCGACAGTAACGCACAGCACCCGGTCATCGACGCCCTCCCCGAAGAGTTTGTCTTAAGTAAGTTATTGTAACCATTAATTAAATATAGTGATTACTATTTTTGTTAATATACTGTATAAACATCAGATGGGTTTGAAAAGTATAAAACTATTTAAATTAATTAATAATTTTGCTGTTTGTTTAGATGAATACGAGGAGAGATCAATGATAGAGCCGGGAATGATCAACAATCATGACTACCAGGAATTGCTTAAAATTCTGGTCAATTGGATCAACGATGAGCTTAGGTTTGAATGACAATAAAATGTCACTTATTTTTAAACATAATTACTTACAAATATATGTGTTTTGCCGTTGAAGTGATCAGAGAATTATCGTCAAAGACTTGGAAGAGGACCTGTTTGACGGCCAGATATTGGGAAAACTGATTGAGAAGTTGAGTTTACAGAAGTTGGATGTGGTGGAAGTGACACAGAACGAAGATGGCCAGAAAGCCAAACTCAGGACTGTCTTGGATCAGGCGAACCGACTTCTCGGCATTCAGGCCAAGTGGTCGGCTGTCAAGTGGACTGTCGAAGGTCTGTATGAAACCAGTGTTTTTGATACCATTTCTTAAGTCATTAATCCATTTCTAAAGGTATTCACAACAAAAATATGGTCCAAATAATTCATCTGTTGGTCGGACTGATCCGTCACTACAGAGCGCCCATCCGTTTGCCACAGAATGTTGTCGTCAATTTGGTTGTCGTTCAGGTGCTGTCCATTATAAGCATGAGCTGTGATTTGCGATCGATTGTAACGCTTGTATATTTGATAACGTGTTTTGACAGAAACGTGAGGGACATCTGCACACGTCTACAGTGACGGAACAGTTGACCGGTTCTTACGACGAGTTGGGTATGCGAGTGGAGCCTCGGGACGCGTTCGACACGCTCTTCGATCACGCGCCCGATAAGCTACAGATCGTCAAACGATCGCTCGTCAACTTTGTCAATAAACATCTCAATAAAGTCAATATTGAGTGCTATGTGGGCAGCAGTGGTGTCGACTTAGATCCCAACCAATTCAGTGACGGACTTCTCTTGATATTCCTGATGGGAATGCTTGAGGGATACTTCGTTCCGTTGGGCAACATATTCACCACTGCTGTCGACCCCATACTCGAGGCCACCACTAATAAGGAGACAGCTATACAGCCGGACAACTACGTGGAGAGCTCTCCCATCAATAAACTTCATAACATTAACGTCGCCTTTCAACTGATGGAGGACTCAGGCATTCAGGTATACTTTGATATAGCATTTTGAGCATTGCTTTCAATGCAATACAACTAATTGTTTGTATTTTCAGGTCAAACAAAAAGTAAGAGCCGAAGACATTGTCAACGCCGACATGAAGTCAACGCTGAGAGTCCTGTATATGGTTTTCACTAAATATAAACATCTCTAAGAGATTCATATTATCACTAATTGTGCCAAATATTAGACATTATATTTTGAAGTCTTATTAATTTTTAACA